TTGGACAGGTGTACCTAATAAAGTGGCCGGTGAGTGTATATTGCTCTAACAGACATGTTCCTTTGAGTTTGCTGAGTGTAGTCAGCTTTAAAACAGTTATCCTAACAAGACAGATAGGTGGCACTCCTTTATTTTAAAAAAATGACCATCTGTGCCGTAGGAAATTGGAAAACCTTTCATTTGGATCAGTCTGTTCTTCTAAGCCAATAAAAGCGACAAGTTAGTAAAAGGAAACAGCATTATGTGCTCTGTTATCACAGAAGAAGCTGGAAAAGAAACGATCCAGGAGGGCTTCTGCTCAAACCTACCAATCAAAGAGGCCCAAGAAGTCAGAGCTACACATCAAAAAGCAGAAGTGCTTGTATTCTGCAATCGTTTTCATACCAAAGCTTCTTTATTTATTCTATTTGTATATTTTTTAAGCTTCATGATGATAAATAACAGGAGTTCTCACCTTAGGAAGAGTAGCAGCAGTGTTAAGGTGCACCTAACCACAATCCACAATGAATAAAAACAATAAACCTGCACTCAATGTCAGGTCCTGTCGTTAGAAGCAGCAGAAATACAACATGAACCCTGTTAGACAGCTATATTACAAAACGACCTAGTTCATCAGTTTAAATCTAATAGCAGAAGGTGACGGAAGCACATGCAGTGCATTAAAGATGGGTTTGTCACCCAGCCCCGCTCAAACTCAAACTGTTGAATATTGTAATGAAAATATCAATTAAGATGGAGATTCACCAACATTTTTGTTTAGTTTTATCAAATCAGCCGCCTAAATAATGCACGTTTGGTTTGAATCAAGGGGATCCTAATGGATATACATGTTATCCATTTTCATGGCACTTTGCATGAAAACTGTTTCATCCAAGCAGTGATTTGAGAGTAAAATATTGAAAACATCGATATGAGGGGGAGCAGAATAAAAGGAGGAGGAGGGAGTTTCCCCTCAACGCAAAGTTTTGTACAGCTTAAGAGTTGGGGGAAGTCAGTGCATGGCGGATGAGGGTGGAGGAGATGGGGAGGGGGGTTAGAGCCATGGGGTGCATCCCACCCCGAGCTATGCCCCACTGGTGCTCACTCTCTCTCCCACAAACACACAGGAGAACCAAAGCCTTGTTAGCTTTTTAAAATAATCAGGCAGTTGGATGATGAATGATTTAACAGGTATGGAAGGAAGGAAGCTCAGGATGCCTTCCGCTTCTCCCCTCAGGCTCATAGGAAGAGTGACAGGCCGACAGAGGGGTTGAGCTCTGGGAATAAACACCATTCCCTTTCATTTCGCTGCTACTGCTTTTCTTGTCGAGATGGCAACGCCGCGGCCCGCTAATTTGTCAACAGAGTGACTGAGAGAGGCGACGACAATCTGTGACTGTCGTTTGAGTGAAGCATGTCAGGATGGAGGACGGTTGGCCTGCTGGAGGCAGAGTATCGCTCCAAACTGCTAAAGATTTCTGCCCGGGACAATCCTGACCAACTCACTGTCTAACATTTTACTTTTTTTCTAATTAACATTCAGGTTAAATGCTTAAAATGAAAACAACCACTGAGTCCCAGGTTAAAAAGTATGACAGCTTATTGTTTGAGGATGTTAAACAGCCTGCATGGACTAAGTTTAACAGATATACCTTTAAAAAATAATAAAAAGTTAAAAAATAATAACATAAAACCAAAATTTTATCTCAAGGTTGTATAAAAAAAATCAGATGAACAGATAACAGTAATTGTCAGTGATTGAAACCAAAGAGTCTGTCAACAGAACGAAACTACATGATGAAATGCTGCCCTCTGCTGTCGGTTACATGGCATTGCAGGTACAGGTTTGTTTTGATTTCCAAAACATCATTTAAAAGAAAAGCATTTTGTAAGGCGAAAAAACCAAAAACTATTTTATTGTGTATTTAAGGTTTTTTTTTTGTTAGACTAAAACAAAGTAGTGCATAATTATAATGTGGTAGGAAAAAGATAGATAGCTGCACATTGGGAGTTTCTTCTTCCTGCTCCTCCATAAAGGGCAAATATTCATGGCTGCTAACTGACGTCTCTATGATACTCATGCTGGAGCTCTAGATCTCTGCAGCTCTTCTAAAGTTCTTGTATTTTGGCTAAATGCGACTTTTTTTCCCCCAATACTGGCATTTATGTTATGCCATAAATCTCCTTTACATTTACCGACCACCTTAGCTTTGATTTATCTTTCAGGTTCTTTAGTCTTCCTGATTAGTTTGTTTACTATATTTCTAAAAATAAACTTTAATATCCAGAAGAGCCAGATCTACTTTGAATTCTGAATTAGAGCTGTGTTAAATTTTTTTTTTTACAATTTTCCAATTCTGAATCACATTCATTCCTGAAGACAGATTCAAACAACCAAACATTTTCCACTGTCCATAAAGCTGATACTAATGATCATTTCTTTATTCCTTTTCCATTGAATGTAAATATAATACTAGTATCAGTATGTTAAAACTACACAGCCATGTAATCCAGCTAAAGGTTAAAGCGAGTAATACAATTTATGATTGGACCAGATCTAACTAGATTGAAAAATATATATTTCAAAATGGATGGAAAACTGGTAGTGGATCATTTCTGGACGACCCTATTTTAAAGGGCAGTGGTATTTCATTCAGAGATGCTGGGATAATATTAGTAGTTGGATTTGTGAAGAAGCTCACTTTATTTTGTTAAAGAGTGAAATTAAAGGACACAGTTTTTACAATTTCTCTTAAGAGTTAACAGCAGTTTTTAATCAACACATTAATGCTTTTTTGGCAACTTTAATAAGCTCCAAATCCAAATATTTAAAATGCTAACTTAAGCTTTAGATTTCAAAGATTCTTTTATTATTAACAGATTTAAAAGCACAATAAAAGACAGAAAATATCAAATATTTGTGCATCTGGCAGCTTTTCTGGTGGCCGTAAAACATCTGGGCTCTGAGTAGTTAATCACTTATTAGCCTTATTTAAAAAAAAAAATTATAATTTTTAAATTCCTCAAGGTGTGAATCCAGCAGCATAGGTACCAGCTTTCAAATGAAAGATGTATCCACAGGTGATGATAATCAAATTCCTATTAATGATTCAGCAGACCATTAAATTTTAATGAGAAGACCCCATGGGGCCATTATGAACCCTTAAGATATTAATTCACCAATTAATCTCAATTGAATTTCTGATCAAATAATCAAATATATTCATTATCTCTAATTGGCCATTTTAAGATATTAATCACACACTGCAATTAATGACTAGAGCTAAGCTATATTCAGGCGGTTTGGGCCCATCAGTGTAAAACTGGATAAACGTTTGTGGAATTCAATCAGTCAAATCAGTTTTTTACAAAAGTCACCAACCATGACATTAGCTCCGATTGTTCAGGGTGGAAGACATTGGGTTTAAAACCTAGATTTAATTATGCTCTCTTGATCTGAGAATGGCTTTTCACACACACACAAAAAGAAACGTAATGAAATTAAGATGTTTTTGATACACTTTCCTAGAGTCGGTTAATGCTAAATGTG